CCCTATGAGCGTCTTCTGAGCCCTGAAAGGATGGTTTAGGGTTTAGGGCGGAGCAATTCCAACAAGGCAATTTTAGATAGCAGCTTCAACAGCATCGACAAGGTAACAACATGAGCACAAGGGGCCGGAGTAAGATAGATTCACAACTCAGTGCTGTCAATCTTCTCATCATTATATAGTAGCTTACCAAAAATTAAGGGTAACATTCTGGGGGTAACAATAATAAGGATTATCATGTTTGGGGGTCTAGATTGGGTCCCCCTGTTTGTGGAGACGACCATATCGCATTACGCCTTCCATGGTTGGGGGTTTACATTTTCGGAAATGGCCCCGTTGTTGTCATGATGCATCCGTATCGTCTGAAACGGGCAACCAAATTCTGAGCTTGCTGGAAAGCACCGCACAACTTTGTCTAAGCCACCAGGAGTAGATGAAGTGACATGGGCCGAACGATTTGCAGAAAGCCTTCACAAGAACGTTCTTAGTGCAATGGGTGTTGTTGTTATGGGATTCCCAGCATTGGTGCTGTCACTCTGGCAGGAAGGATAAGGGCAACTTGTTTTGGTCTTGATCGCTTAAGCCATCAATGTCCTGAGGACAGCCTGTAGCATTGGAGAAGTAAAGGCGCACCCACTGATCATGCTCAGTCTTTTTGGCTACTTTTCCTAAACCCTAAGCCCGAAACCCTAAATGGTAGTTTCCGTTTTCTTTTCCACTATCCCAATATAATTTTTTCGATGGGGCTTGCATCCAGAGAGAAGCATCGAACAAAGTAATAATAGTAATAGTAATCACCTATATAGTAACAATGCTAGTAATAGTAATAGTAGTAGTGATAGTATTTACAATGAGAGTAGTAGTGATAGCAATTACCTTTTTGCGTTCTAATGTTCTACGACATTGGAGGCCTACAAGGGCACTGGCAGCTTGCGTCAGGCCCGGCGACGTGTCTTCACAGCGATGTATGATTCTTGTGCTTTCAGGAAAAGGGGGCTGCAGAAATGGGGTTCCCGAGGAGTCTTTGTACCCGGAGTATAGTATTCGAGGGTGTTAGAATTCCTTTGAAAAAGGTGTAAGATTATTGTAATACTCGCGACTCGATCTGTCACTGCTTTGGCTGCCTGTTTGTCGTTGGTGGCACAAGGACGAACGATCAATGGCAATCGATGTCGTTGTGGTCGTCAATGTCGGCGGCGGCGGGGTTGGTGGCGGCGTGGTGGTGGGCGTGTGCAGCGGCAGCGGTAACATCTTTAGCGGTAGCAGTAGTAGGAGTAGTAACGGGAGTGGCAGCCCCAGCACGAGTCACAGTAGAAAGGAGGAGCAAGAGAAGTACTCCACAGCTACTACTATACCCGTTCACAGCACTTACTGTATCAACGTGATGCAGGACTTCGCTGGCTTGTGCGATGCCCTGGGCATCGTGGGCCACCATGCCTTGATGCCGGAGAAGGATGTGGAATCCCCACGGGAGGAGCCCTAGCTGCTTTTCTTCGTTGTCTTCACAGGGTCAAGGGGCCTGGCTAAGAGGCAATTCGGCTAGTCAGTTCCGTACTTCTTGAGTCCTTGTTTCCAGACAGGCGCCTCCCCAAACAGTGCCGATACCGCCAGGACAACAGTGCGCACGAAAAGCGTTCATAATCAGCTTAAGCAGTTTGTGGCCCTTGTTAATGTTGTGTGTATGTTTCCTTGTATGTCTTTTGCTTGGCACCCCTGGCCTTGAATTACAGCGCCGCGCTCTTGCAGTGAGTGAGGCAGGCCCTCCGCCGGTGCTAACACTGCAAAGCTATTTGCTGGATCGGGCCTCAATGATGGTGTTGAAGGCTGGAGGGTCGAAAGGATATAGGAATTGCAGAGGGCTGCATATATTACCCCCAATAATCGAGAACTAAATGGAAATGAAATGGAAACTGGATTATAGACAGCCGCGGATCCTGAGAATCCACGGGTGTTGATTGCAGAACCACTCGGATGCATAAGCCCGGCTGTTCTCTCATGAATTATGTGAGCACCATGCTGAGACTCTGCCACATGGCAGCTAGTTTGATGACTTGCAGGTGGTTCTGCCCACCTCACTGTCCCTTGGAAGCAGGAGTTGGTCATCACCCAGTAGAAGCCGGGATTCAAAGACCTTTTTATCATCCATGTACAAAAATTTGAGTGTCGTTTGGGGTGGTTCCGCGGCATGGCAGTCGACAAAAACGCTGGAAGATGAGATGCAAACTACTGAGCGATCCTTTCCCCCCATCCCAACTATTAAGCATGAGAAGGGATCACGGCTTTGTCACGCATGTCCTCTTCTCAAACGACCAGTGGCATGAACAATGGCCATCTTGATTGCATGAGAGGCCATTTTAGGAGACAGCGCCACAGCTTTAATTGGCAGCTCCCCTGAACCCTAAAACCAACGGAGAGTATCTTACTCAGTTGGGAATGGGGGGGCGGATCCCTATCAGATCCTATCAGCAGTCCCTATGTGTCCCCCTAGTGATGCCTACGTATAATCAATTGCTCCGTTCCCAACTAAGTACAACTAAATACGAGTAGGATGAGCTCCTTCTGTCCTCAAAAGGCTTAGTTTCGCTCCGGGAGTTGCAGCTGCTAATGATTTGCTACTGTGATAAACTCCCTCCCCTTAGATTAGAATAGGGATCCTAATGTCCAGGCCCTCAAAAAGGAGAGGGTTTATTCATCACCGGTCTACATTCGGACAGCTAGCAGGCTGAAACTACTTCAGGAGGAAATGAAGCAGGAAGCACGTGGCCACAATCACCTGTAGCCCCATATGAGCTAGAGTCTAAACTCCCTGGAAGGGGGGGTACATAGCGGATTAATGGGGATTATATAGAGGTTATTAAGGGGAATACTGGAAGTTTAGATTGTAGCTAAAGTATATGACTACCCTGCTTCTCTAGGCCCTGGTGTGGTGTGGCATAATCTGCCTACTCATGATACAGTAGGGCTCACCTTGCTCTTGAAGGCATTTGGACACACTGCGCCTGTGCGGCTGCAGTATGGATATCGAGCTGCGCCTTGGAATCCAAACCTGGCTCATCCATTATCCGGTGCCTAAAATGAGGAATCGTGGTCTATACTGTCCATCATATGCAAATGCTGACAGTAATCACCCCCCCCCTTTGCCCAACATCTTAAAGATGTCCCCAATATATGCGCAGCTTCTAAAAGGGAGCATGAATCATTCGGTTGCCGAGGTTTCTTGAACTACGAAGGGGGGAAGGGATTAATGGATAAGCAACGTATCAGTAGTAGGATGAAGCAAGTTCTAGTAGGAACACTAATACAAGAGTTTGTAGCAGGAATAGAGGGCTACAAGTACTTTTTAAGGCGCGAGCTATCCTGCACCACCTTATACCTTGGATCATGGGAACCACTGTAGTTTGGGGGTTCCAGAGTCCCAAGTGGCACAAAATGTCCTCCATCCACCCTATGACTGCAATAGCATGGATGCATGTCTGGTAGTTGTTCACAATGCCTGTCCACAAAATGACGATAAGGTAGCATCCCTGTTTGGTTAGACGCCCCTTCTAAGGAAGTGTATTCCCAATGGCCCCTTCTTTACAAGGACCTGTAGAACAACCCCCATGTTTGGCCTGGTATCAAGGTTGCAGCTATTGCGTGAAGCCTTGACTTCAGACACTTCAGCTGCTTGGCTTCACATGGCCGTGCATGCACACCCGCCTGTTCAAGCATGAGTGGTTCTTCAACTGATGGGCCCGCGCGGAGGGCCCAAAATGACAAACCAGAAAATATGGTCCCCTTAAGTAGATAGAATATGGCTTTGGGTATATTATAATAAGTTCCCCATGTACCCCGTATTCTATCTACCTAAGGGGGAGTATACTACATTGGGGCGCCCTCTAGTTTGAGAGGGCCTGATTGGGGCAATACCTCGACGTCTAATCCCTGCCGCTACTGTTAAGACTCCCCCCCCCCCGTAAACTTAGAGAATCCCAATGTAGCATCATACGCGATAATGGGAATATTTCAGGCTAGGGGGTGGGGGGTTCAATATCAGGGGAGGGGCTTAAATCCTAAAAATGACACTTATTTGTATATCCTTCAAAGCCCATGTGTAAACACAAATTTCAAGTAATTTTCCATGTTCTTGTCCATTTGTTCTCCGTTATGGGGGCTAGATTTCTAAACCCTAAGCCCGAAGACCCTGAACCCTCAGTAAGATTGTAGTCAAGCCTTAACCCTAAATTGTATTGTAGTTTCCATGTTCATGTTCATTTCCATTCTTCCCGGTGTCAGGTGCGAAGCCTACAGCTGGAGTGGAATCGCGTTGAGTTAGCGCTGGACGATAAAGCCCGCACATCGCTGAACGAGGCCTCAGGTTCAGGGTAGGGTTTGCGGTTGGAGGTGCCTCAGTCCTGGGTTGAAAAGGGTTTTGGGTCTGGGGTTTAGGGTACAATATCCGTATCCTTGCGCCCGAAACCCTATGTATACTAAACGGCCTGGCAGGAATCTCCTTGGGACTTAGCTTGGACTTTATAGACCCTTAACCCTTTGGGATTCCCTTCCACTCCTATAGGTAGATAAGGGTTAGCCCTTGGTATGAATTAGAGACTAGAGTGCGGCCCTACAGTCAGAACAAGGAGAATATTTGAGGGCGCAGACATGAAGGACTCTGGTCACCTTGCTTCCAACTCTAAACTCCCATGTGAGCTATAGTCTAAACTCCTTACGAGGGGGTTAGAAAGGGGAGCATATAGAGGAGTACCATACGGGTTATAAAGGGGGATGCTAGGAGTTTAGACTATAGCTCATGTAGTGTAGAAGAGCCTGCATCATGCCCCCGTCACTCCCTTATTATCATCCATGGACGCTCATCGTATAACTTCCCCCCAAGACATTTCTAATGAAGCAGGCCCCTAGATTGCAAGAAGAGCCTAAGTCAGGCACACCACTGGTCGGAAATCGACGAGGCCAGCACGCTCACCTTTGGAAGCTGGTGATTTCTAGAAAAGTGGGGGGCACTTAGGGATCCACGTACGAAGATTACGAACAGACGGGGATCCTGGATAGGGGTCTGAGGCCTAAGGTTTAAGGGCTTAGGGATTTTTTTTGGGGAAATCCCCAGACCTCTTCGCGAATGTAGAGAGCTTGTTTTGGCAGCCCGCCCCTGAGTATGGCTCGGAATTTGGTGATTGCAGTTAACAAGTATCATAAGTACCGCGGGCCTAAGCACTTGCTGCCGCCCTTGACCCTCAACTCTTAACCTTCCTGTCCAGCCAGGCTGAAAAGAGCTTATCCAGTTTGCGGACACAGCGATCCTTGATAAAGTTCAGGGAGGAACTGGAGTTCCGGCAAGGAGCGGGAAGGGTTTACCTACTGCCTGGTGGTTAGTAGGGAATGCAAGAACGGATTCCTGTAGTATAACTGTCCCTCAAACCACCTCTCCACTCCTTACTAGCCACCCGCTGTCATCTGTACAGTATTGCGAATATTTTATTCTCAAGCCAGGGCAAAGACGTGGATGGATTCTTCTATGCAGAGCCCCGTATATTCTAAAGGACCACAGCACACACCTAGGATTTACAGCCCCCTGTAGTAGATGGAATATCGGGTATATGATGATCTTAGTATAGAATACCCAAAGCCATATTCTATCTACTTAAGGGGGACTATAACCCCAATATATATCCTATTGAAATATAATTGTTTCCATTTTCTCTTCCGTTATCCCTGTATAATCCTTTTAAAGCCCAAATTCTATTTACTTAAACGGGACTATAGGGTTTACGGTTCTTGCTGTAACATGAGTTGAAGCCAAGCTGTCCTTCAGCATGTTTCATGGTGTCAAGCAGAATCTCACGCCCAGACCGACTGGTGGCGTTCATGTCTGCACGCATCTCTGGTTATCAATTTCTAAAAAACAAATCTTTGTAGTCCCTGTTGAATCCCCAAGAATGTGGTAGTTACCATTTTCTCTTCCATTTCATTCGATACACTCAATTCAGTTTTGTGCGTTTCTTGAGGTGTCTCCCTTAGATGCCTTCTACTGGGTGCAGCCGCTCGAAGTTAAAGCCGGTCCCTTATGGCTACAGTTATGAATCGCATTTTTGATCATTATCCCGAAAAAGGCCACCTAATTGTAATACCCTTGAAGCCCCCGTGATCTTAAATGAGAGGCGGCCAAAACCCCTATAAGGAGTTGTATAAGAGGGTTCTCACATCGATGGTGGATGCTGCAAAACAGCATGTGCCAGCATTTTGCAGGCACATTGTGCGCGATAGCTTGCGATCTCGGCTTGGTAGTATTGGGCGGGGTGCGGTGCGCGCGTCAGTAAGACCTGCGGCTTTCACTCATATCTCATTCGCGATAGCTCACGTCAGTGCAAAAGAACAGCAAGAGCTCGCGATGTGCTGGCGGTGGGACCACATCAGTAAAACGCATGGTTCCGTGATAGGTTCGAGAACAGAAGGTTCAAAGGGTTTTGGCCACGGCTCAAGTGTTATGGCAGGCGGAGATGTGAAGACCGCCATCCAGAGGCTACTGAGAAAAGGGTTTCATGTGGGGATTCAGAGACTTTTGGCTCAGGATTTCAGAGTGTCAGATTCGGGTGCAGGCCCCCAACCTCCAAAACCGGAAGCACAGGGGTTTTAGGGGCTCAGGCCGTAGGGCTCCAGGATTTTCTGAGTTAGGATTTTGGGCGTTCAGGCTGTTGGGTGGAGCAGTTAGACTGGGGGATTGGGCCCTAAAACTAAGTGTTCTTGAGGGTGAGTTCTGGGGGTTCCTAGTATTCTCAGGATGAGAGCTGCCAGGTTTCTAGGGGGTTATGATGCCAGACCATAATCATAATGGGAACAGGAGGGGATTCCCACAAACTCACAGACTTCTTGGCGGCTCCATGCTGTGCCCAGTCAGTCAGACTGGGAGGGTAGTAAGTTATCATGCTGCTGTGGCTATGGCCAATGTCAAGGAGCCCTGAAAGTTGAGTACTAGATTGGGATAATGGAAAATAAAATGGAAACTACTATATAGGGTTATACAGGGGTTATATGGGGATAATGGAAAATAAAATGGAAACTACTATATGGGGTATATAGGGTTATATGGGGGTTATATGGGGATGATGGAAGAGAAAATGGAAAATGAAAATTACCAGCGGCATGGGCAGTTGATAGAAACAAAATGCTGAGGCTAGCAGAGCACGCGGTCAAAGGACACCCTGCGACCTCCGCTCTTTGGCCGCTGGACATTAACTCCTGGGTGTCTACATTCTACGAGGTTTTTCAGATGGATGTGTTGGCTTCTTGGCCTCAATTAGTCGTTTCTGGTGTCCACATGCTCTAGCATTATTTGGGGGTTTCCCAAAATTAGGGGTACCATCTTGGGGGTCCCTATAATAAGGACTATAGTATTTTGGGGTCTAAATTGGGGTCCCCTATTTTGGGAAACTACCATTTCGACAGGACCCTAAACCCTAAACCCTAAAGTCCTGATTCAGGATTGCGAGCCCGTATTCAACATGTTGGATTCGGACTATGGCGATGGCGATGGATTGGTTTGCCTGTCAAGGTTACAGGACGGGATTGTCAAACTCACTGGGTTGTTAGTAGGGAATGTGGGAATATAGAACTTGCTAAAATATGTGGGCCCGGTTGACGCGCGGCCACTTTGGCCACGGCGCGACAGGCAAAGGAGAGCCCTAGCTTGAGATGTGCCTCGTTCTGTCTAAGGCATAGGGTTAAGGGTTTAGGGTATCTAGACTCTGCCGCTAGGCCTCACTAACTTGTATTTGGGATGGCAAAAGCAGGTCAACGTTGAGTAGCAAAGTTGATATTGTCATTGTTAGTGCTATTCTAATTCTCCTCAGTGTTTTTTTGTAACAGTTGTTGCTTCATGTTTTGCAGGAGGTCTTGGATGGGCTTCCTGTCGAAGAATTCGCCACTGAAGACAGGCTCCAGAAGCTGGACTATTCCATCACCTATAGCTTGCTAGAAGGGAATGAAGGGACCTCCTGTTTTCCTGGGAGCCATTTTTCATTTCTTATAGTATAACCCCTAAGGAGCCACAAGAGATGATACTTTTATTGTAGGTGTAGGTTGAGATTACAGGAATGGAAAGGAGAATGGAAACTATCACAAGAATGTTCAGGCTGTTAGGAATCAGGTTGGTATGCAAGAGAGGCCGCGCCGTTTTGTGGGAAGACAACTAAGTTTCGGAGTTTGCATGGAGACTGCTACGTAAGATTTGGGCTTCGCAGCTTGCCTGCCCTTTGCGAGCTGCTTACAAGCCCCTTACGAGCTATTTACCAGCTGCTTACGAGCCGCTTCATTCCCTGCTACCACGAAGTAGATTAGCTGCGTAGGCGAGTGGCACGAGGACAGCCTTCATTTACATTCTCTTGCACGTCATGCCCTTGGCATTTTGTTCTGTTTGCTTGGTTGGGTGGTGGCCGTTGCGCACGTCACATGTTCAATCATTGGTTCCAGCGTAGATGTTCAGCACCCCATGGTAGATTGAAAGTTCTTTAGCCAGATTGTGGGACGGAAAAGGTGTTATGGTGGACCCAAAATAATATATGTTATGGCACGTTTAGGGTTCTGAGAGCTGCAAAGAGTTACCGTTAGACAGCCCCTAATTAATACACCTGTATATATATATGTATAACATGTGCACCCTCGCGCTGGCTACTTTCGGTCTTTCATGCTAGGGAGTGGAGAGGATTCCCATGTTGGTGTGCAGGCTCTTGCCTCCTGCTCAGTGCCCGGAGTTCTCAGATGAGATTGGCTCAGCTTTTGCGGCTCCGTGGCCTACAGTTCCGTGAAGGCTGGCAGTTTCGTTGTGCTGTATATCAATGCAGTTTTGATCTTAGCAGTAGCCCCCTGGTCACCATTGTTGTAGCATCAGTAGCAGCTGCGGCAGCAGTAGCAGCATCAGTGGCAGCCGCAGCAGCTGCAACGCTTGGCCTTTGGCACTTGATGGTGGTCTGATAGTGTTGGACCCCATAGTTGAAGGGGTGGGCTCCTTGAAGAGGATCAGGCTAAAGATAGCAGGCCCGCACGAATTTGTTTCGGTTTCGGGGTTCTAGCAGCCTAGCACAATCCAAAACATCTCCTTCATTTTTGTCGCATGAAGCTATCCTGAGCCTCTCTTTCCATGCTTAGCCTGTGCGCAGCAATCACAACTAAGCCGCTCCTCCTGCAACTTTTCGAGTTTCCAGAAAGAAGGGGTGCCCTTTTATAATACCTCAATGGGGACCCTTTCAAAAAGCGCCTTTACATACCCTTACCCTTACAATCTGTGGAAAACCGGCATTGTGGGGGCAGAACTGACGTCCAAGGCTTTCATGGATCGAACCAGCCCGTTGGAGGTCATTTCCTTCAGGCCCACTGTGTGTGCGTGGGGGTAGGGTTTAGGGGGATTCTGTTGGAATTTTCCACCGCCTTATATACCTTCTACCCCAATGATTACAACATTTTTTAGGTGGTGCAGGATTCCCTCCATTCACAGTATTAGGAGTTTTAGATTGAATACTTTAGTTTTTTGGAGCAAAACAGACCCACAACTTGAGTAAGTCCCGAAGCCTCTTCACTTAAGGCTAAGTGTAGGGTTACTACAGGGTTTACCAAGAAGGGGCCCTAAGTGTTGGAAACCTTTTTTCCTAATCCCCAAGTCGATAAGCCTCAAAATGTCCCATACAGTGGTTTAGGGTTTATAGGACTTTAGGGTTTAGGGCTTGGGACCCCCGACCCCTCCATGTTGGATACTGCTTGTGAGGTGTTGCAACCTCGCGCGCCTGGAGATCCAGGACACGTTCGGATTTAGGTTGTAAGGGTTGAAGGCTTAGGGCTTGGGGTTTAAGGTTTAGGGCTCAGGGTTTCTAAAGCCCTAACTATGGGCCCCCAAATATGGGCCCGTACCTGTTTCCTTGGTCCTAACTATGGGCCCTGAACTGGCTAGGGGTTCAAAGGATATCAAACAGACATATACGGACCCCAGGATTAAGGGCCCATAGTTCTAACCTGAGATAAGTGATGCAAACGCATGCAGACTGAAGACAGGTATCCATGCAAAAACTAAGGGTTTAGGGCAATATACGGATAGACCCAAACCCTCATCCAACAATTGCTGGCCCTTACCTAAACCCTAAAGCCCGCGTAGCCTGAGAATTTTTAAGGTAATTCTGAAGAGGTATCTCTCAAAGCAGGTCAAGCAATAAGGAGTTCCTGCGTAACATGGCTCAGAAAACTGGCTGGGAATTTTCTGGCTTTCCCCACACCATACTTGAAGGGTTGAGTGGGGAGAGAGAGAGAGAGAGCGATACAGCAGTGAGAAGAAGAAGCGATACATAAGCAGCTGCGCGCGGTTGGGGGCCCCGGGGTGACCGTGGTGTCTCCTTTAGCCGGTAGAAGAAGATACATAAGAAGAAGAAGAGGTATGCATATACATATATATGTATAAAGACATGTGTGTGTATGTGTACGTGTATGTATATAAATATATACATACACACATATACCTAGAGCATCAGAAGGGAACATGGCAAATTCAATGGAAAGGTTTATCCAGAGGTTTATAGCTATAAATGCCAATATTATGGTTCTAGATTGGGTACTGCCCCCCCTCTGTAACAGCTGTATAATAAGCATAATATGGTTGTATATATATATATATAGCCCTTAAGAAGATCCCTAATATAGACTGTTACAGGGAGGGGGCAGCACCCAAGGTCTAGATTCCTCGTATCAGCGAGGTATAGGGTAGCTCAAATGTCCTAGGGTCTAAACTCCTTAAGGTGTTATGTTAATATAGATATAGGTGATTATATAGGGGACTACTATAGGGGTTGTTAAGGGGGATGGGCGTTTAGACTATAGCTCGACTAGACCTCCAAATGATCTTGGTAATTCTTGAGGCCCGTGCAGTAGACAACAACCGTGACTCCGGGTTGAAGATTGGATTATAGAATTTAATCATAATTGTTCGTCAAACCATGATTTCTTGGGAAAAATTGTGGAGGGGTAACAGGAAGCAACGGCTTATAGTCACCCTTAAGTAGAGAGAATATGGCTTTGGGTATATTTTAAAAGGATCCCCATATACCCCAGAACTCTATCTACTTAAGGGGGGACTATAAACCTAGATAAGTTGAACGTTTGAATCCAGGCAATTAGCTCTTGCTTGGCAAGTCCATCGCCGCACTTGCGCGCGCTTAACCTTTGGGGCACCTAGTCTGCCAAAAGAGTCCGGTCTGACGAAGTGTTGGGTAGGTTTTCTACCTTAAGCGTTCTCAGTACCCAAGTGTTGGGGCTTGGGGGGTTTTTACAGGCAACAGGTACCAAGGACCATTTAGATACTTCGAACCGCGCCATGTAGGCACTTGGATGTCATGACCGTGAGCTTGTCAACGCTATGGTCCCCCAAGGATTAGCGTTTGCATGGGGTTTAGGCTACCCTACATTTTGGATGCCTAAACCCAAAAGCCTAAATCATTACCACAATGTACTAGTATCGATCGTATTAGCATCAGTATTACAATGGCTATCATCATGATGGGCCCCAAGTGGAGAACTGGGCCCATCTGAGCTATAGCCTAACGCTTCTTAAAGAAGCTTATATAAGGGGTTATTTAGGGGACTACTAACCCCCGTAGGAGTTCTTCAATAAACCCTAAACCCTATCGTTATTGAGGGGAACACTTGGAGTTTAGATTAGGCCCTAAACCCTAAACGGGTTATTAAGGGGGATACTAGGAATTTAGACTAGTAGATATACATACTTGTATGTCCCTGTAGAGGCCTATATATCCCTGCATATCCTTATCTATCCTGTGTATATATATATACACACATTTATTTATGATATGTTTTCTATACAGTGCCCTAAACCCTAGACCCAAGGCTCAAAACCCCAGTGCCCATCTGGCTGCCACCAAGCCAAGGCAACAAAGTTTGCGACCGAGGAGCCCAGGCTCTCGCACAGGAGCCTTTGACAGAGGGGTTTCAGGGTTTAGGGGTGCAGGGGTTAAGGGTTTAGGGTGGCGGCTGTCATACTCGAGTCCGCTTGAGAGAGAGAGAGAGGGTTTAGGGGTTTAAGAGTTTAGAGGCTTAGAGGTTTTTTTTGGGCGTAGGGGTGCAGGGGTTAAAGAGTTTAGGGCTTAGGGTTCAAGGGTTTAGGGCTTAGGGTAGGGATACAAGTTGCAGGGATGGTTACCCTAGAGTGAAGCTTTAAGAAAGGAAGTGTAAGAAGCTTTGAGTATAAGATAGGGCTTATCATGTAGTACAGTATAGTATTATCGGTAGGTGGTTGGGGGAGCTATTTTTAATTGATGGTAAGCAGTTCTCACACACCAGTCGGATCCTGCTGTAGAACGTGATGTGGAAAGTGGCCTGAAGTGGCAACACATGCCGTATATGCTGCATGATGGGGATTTTGGTAAGCCTAATATAAGCATGGAAAATCCGATGGGCAAGAGAATCGAACATTATATACAAATTGGGCATATTTTGAGGCTCTATAGGGACTTATTGTGGAATGAGGATTTTGGTAGCCCCCTACCCTACATTGAGGACCCGATCAGAGTCATGTGATAGTCATGGGGTCCTTATCGTTTGGGGGTTGGGGTAGCCGGTAACCCAAATCGCCTCATTATCAGGCAAGTACTGTTGACCGACGGTTAGCTAGGTCTCGTAGCACCAGCACAACACATGCCAGGGAAAATGAAAAAACCTTCTCCAGGGTTTGAAGGGGCTGCGCAGGGGTTGTATGGGTCCCTTACTTAAAGGGCTTACACAGGTTTATATGTACTATAGTCTAAACTCCTTAAAGGGGTTATATAGGGAATGATATAGGGAACTACTATAGGAGTTATTAAGGGGGATACTAGGAGTTTAGATTATAGCTCATATGAAGCCTCATGTCCCAAAGGAGGGATGTGAGTTCAACCTCCTTCAACCAAGGCGCTGGAGTTCAACTTTGGATTGCAATTTCTTGGGCTCGGTCGTCGCTTGCCTTGACATGGAACCTCAAAGAAAGAGTGCTTTGTGGACTATACTGTCCTGCTTGAAGGGCCCGTTTCAGGTTCCGTGTGTGCTTGGTGCATCGTTGTGCTTCAGCAAGTGTCTTGCGCAAGATGCCCATGCCAAACTGCGGTGCTCAAATCATGGAGCTCTTGCAGACCTGCACGAAGCCATGAAATGGATCCAGTCTACTTTCAAAAGAGTGACTGTCAGCATCATGCTGTTGTGTGGACCGCACTAAGTACTTGTCCAGTGCATGATTTTTTTTAGGTTCACAAGAGGTTCCGTGCTAACTTCTGAGCCATGCTTGCAATAGCTAAGGCAACTTCGTCACTCATGCTACTTGACTGCAGTGGTGCAGAGCATCCAGATGGATTTGGGTGTTTGAGCATATCCGTCAAACAACCCTGAATAAGTTAGTGGGGACCCCATAGCCCTTATACACATCCCGTTATTACCCCCATGGGCGCTAAACCTTAAACCCAATATAACCCTAAACCCACTATAAGCCCAATCTTACCCCAACGGGTACCTATATCCCATGTGTTCTTATGCATGCCTCCCTGGTGGAGGTCTCTCAAAACTTTGGGTCAGGTTCCGGGTTCCCTGCGGCAAGGCCTATGCTTTCTAGGGTCTAGGGTTTAGGGTTTAGGGAGCGGAAGGCCGACAACAACGGTTTAAGAGTACGTGAGTACCTTCTCATAGACTGCGCAACACGAAAATCCTGGCCGATCCCGTTTAAACCACTAGATATCCCTCAGCGTTTAGGTAATTGTCCATGCTCTTTGTCGTTGGATGCCCCATTATTGGGACAACATCCTTAGACAGGGCCTTGCACTTTAACTTGCGATGCCCTACGGGCTACTTGCTTATGTTGTCCAAGGTATGCTGTTGTTGATCCTCCCCCATACTTATCCGCATACTGCATGCCCTTCGCATCTTGTAAATCCTGATATCCAAAAAGTCCTCAAAGCATTCAGCTGCAACAAGTGAATACTTCTCAGTTCGAGTTTGGGGCTGTAGCGGCAGCTTTGCCCCTACAGTAACACTACCCTACATGTACCATAGACCTTTGTCCGTGTCCCGAAACCCTAAATCCTAAACCTGAAATCCTAAAGCCCAAATCCTACACCCTAAATCCTAAGTCCTAAACCGTAAATCCTAAATCCTAAAGCTTAATTAAATCCTAAAGCTTGTGCCAGGAAGGCCTTAGGGCCTTGTGCAGTGTGCTGGGCAGTCGGCGCCTAGATGAAAAGGCCAGGTCTCCCTCCTATGCCTGGGTTTTAGGGTTTAGGGGTTTAGGCTTTAGGGTTTAGGGTTCGGGGTTTAGGGTTTATGGTTGGCCGAGAAGGCAGCACGCAGACGTGCTAGAACGCAGACTTAGGCTCGTGTGTAGATGTATATAGGCGACCATTTACGGCTGGATGCTTCTGCAATGCTATCTGAGTTGAACTCGACTAGTCGTGCTTATGCAGCTTCCTTTGTGTGGCATACAGAGTGGAGCTCGTGTGCTGGCTGAGCGAATCATTATCGTGCGGGCCTCAGCTCAAAAAAAGGGTTTTATGGTTCAGGATTTAGGGTTTTAGGTTTTAGGGTCTGTAGTCTTAACTCCTTAAAGGGGGTTATATAGGGGACTGCAAAAGGGGTTACTAAGGGGGATACCAGGGTTTTAGACTAGAGCCGCTCAAATGGAAACTTGAGCCCGGTGTGGCACCCAACACTATCCAGGGCCCTGTGTGTTGATAAGCTTCCTGTCCCATTATTTGGGATTAGATGCCCCGATATGATCCCTCGCATACCCCTGTAGACATATATGCATATATATATACACAGATGTATGGAGTATTGTCATTTCTTTTTCCATTTTCTTGTAGATTTGATGCTCCATCTTACAGCATATTCCTGTTTAGGAAATCAGCGGATTCTTAGGCATACCGCTGATCCCACCATGGTAACATGTGCCATCTGGTCCGGGCACGGGAAAAACTTCCCCTGGTCTGTACAGCCTTGTGCAGGCTGCTGCAGAGAAGGTCATGAAGTACCTGAAGGTGAGGTTGTGTTCTTGAAAGACGATAGGCCTCTAAGGTCCTAAAGTAGCTGAAGGTGAGGAGATAGCCACTGTCCAAACTACTATCTTGCCGCAATCATTCCTACCGCAATGTTGATAGCAACGCCGCTGCCGATGCCACTTTGAAGAGTGTGCTTCGTGGTCAGGAAGTGCATTGCCTCCGTGCCCATCGTCTGTACTGACCCTCTTCTATAGATGCCCGGGTTCTCATGACTCCAATGAGAACTTCAAGTGTGGGAAGAGGTATTACTAAAGAGGCTTGTGTAACTTAGGGGTCTACCTCACGCAGATGTCACATCCTGGAAGGACCAGCAGAAGGACACGGAGGGGAACGTGCTGCGCATTCTTGTCATCCACGCTATGATCTTGATCTGTGGGTTTCTAGGATTGATGAACGTCATGCTTTCGCTGGCCATTCTTGCTGATCTTGATCTGCAAATCTGTATGATGCCCTTGGGATGCCGTACGTGCCACCGCGGACCTTTTCAGTGCTTTTTCAGGTTTGGTTTCAGGCAGACCTCCATACCCAAGAATGTAGATCTGTAGTGCACAGGCATACAGAGGTTCATGCCCTGAGCGTCACGAAAGAAGGACTGCAATCTCTATTTGCCTGTGAGTTCAGGAGGTAGAGAAGAAGCGAAAGGCTTTCGGAGCACCTCCAAAGGACGGCAATGGTCGCAACTCGCCACAGCTAATTCAACAGCCTCAGGCGAGGAGATCGGCATGTGCGACAACTATTGACTATAGTCAGATGTTTGATTGGGCTCTTTACGGTCATGTAGCAGCCTAAACAATCACCACTTTGTGCTGTCATGGTATAGGGTAACTAAGTCAAGTAGACCTCAGATGTCTACAGTACAGCAGTAGCGTGCAAATACGTGTCAATGTAGGTGGTTGAATGCGCAGGAGCATGTGAACTGGAGCGGCTTCCTTGCGATATTGTATGTAGGTAGAGATGCCCATGTAGTTTAGGAAGCACCTGGAGATTACTGTCAATGGGTAGATGACCCCTGCATCATCATCAATGGCTTGCCCTGTTCAGGACCTCCTTGTCTTGCAACGCATCCTCAGATTTGAATCAGGTAATACCTTGAGCAGAATTCTGGGTGGAAAGGGTGCCCCGCGATTCAGCAATATGACCGTTCACTCACCTCAAGAACGGCACCTGGCCTGATGTGTGAGACAATTGAGAAGTCGGCCTTGCAAGAGATCCAGTTATTGTTTCAAATTCAGCCTAGCCACCTTTAATCCCTAAACCCTATCTAGACCCAAAGTCCTAAAGCCTAAGCGCATATACCTCTAAACTTAAACCCCAAGCCCGAATTAAACCCTAAACCCTAAGCTCCCAAACCTATGCCTCACCAAAAGAGGTGAGCGGTATTGGCCTGAGCCTCACCTGGACACCTGTGAGGAGTTGAAGGACGACTTAGGCCATTTAGGGTCTAGGGTGTAGGGGTTTAGCATTGAGGGGTGTAGGGGTTTAGGGTTACATCTGGGAGTTGTTCAAGGTCTCTCCATAATTTCTAAGGGGAGCCCCCTAAAGTCGTTACAAATTGCCTGTATCTCTGGGAGGTATTTTCAAAGGGGACCCCCCTAAAGACTTTACAAATCCCCATGTACTCGGATCTGTGGGGTAGCTAGTCGTCCATCTTTGGAGAAGCCCCCAACAGCATGGCGGAAGCACACAGCTTGTTCATCGTGAGATGCGTCTAGTAGCCTGCTGTCCCCCATACAACCCTTGCCTTCCACACTCCTGATAGTAAAATTCTCCCGTTTAGCATTGTGGATTAGGGTTTAGGGATTAGAGTATAGGGCTTAATAATTTCTGTGCGCTTGCTATGGCGGGCAGGAGATTGAACCTGCGACATGCCTTCTGCGCGAAGCGTTTCATGAGCCACAGCGGAAACCCCCCAAGGTGGTTCTAGGTGTTATAGGAAACAAACTTAAGGACGGGCCTTTTACACCCTCCCCCAATCTTACTCACCATTCGCTTTGAGCACTGAACCCCTTTTTTGATTTTCCCCCGTAATGTGGCTTGGCTGGCCGGTCGCGTTGTCACTCTATTCTCAGGGGAGGGGATTATTATGGAATATTGACATTTGGTGACTGCAGGTACACAATACTGGATTTGGACTCGGAACACCATAATCAAGACGGTGAACGTGGAGCAGAATCCCATACGCGACGTGGAGCCTGGCCGTGCAAGGGACAGTAATGACATGCGTATGTCTGCCTGAGTTCCAAAACGTCAACCGATAACCCGACAGCGCATCTCAGGACGCTGTGGAAAGCCTCCAGCCCTGGGGTTTCTTGGCGTCATTGTTAAATCCATATGTTGCATTGACAGCTTGCAAGAGCGTGCTTTTTTTGGTATGTCCACTTTAGCCTTTTATAGACAGTTGACGGCTTCAGAGACAAGTCTACAAGCTGTCCACAGCCGCTCCAATTGAAAGCCTTCGTGAAAGACCCTCCGCGTGATGGCAGCTAGCACACCGAAGTCCGCAGCCTTCTACTCCATCTTAGCTATAGTCCAAATTCCTTAAAGGACGTTATGTATGTATGGGCTTATATAGGGAAGTATTATAAGGGTGATTAAGGGGGATACTAGGAATTAAGACTATAGCTCATCTGCTGTCACAGGTACTGGAGCTCTGATACTGCGTTCCACTCCATGCGCGCCGGCGTTTCCGGGCGGCACCAAACCATCCATCAGACCTCCCGGGGAATGATAACCTGATTCCTCCCGGCCCCTGATATTAAAACCCCCCACTCTCTTAAATTTATTACACATTCCTGAATATGATATAAGATAGAATATACTATAATCTAATATGATATAATATGGTATAATTTGATAACATATTGTGCTATAATGGGAATACTTAGTATTAGGCACGAGAGGGTTCAATATTTGGGGGTTGGTATTTCCAGCTCTTTGCCAGGCTCCTGGAGAGGCAGAAGCAAAAGGCCAAAGAGCAGGAGCAGCTTCAGAAACTGGGCTGCTGGTAAGGAACTTAATTTAAGGTGCCATAATAGGCATATATTCCAAATACTACGGTTCCCCAAGTAATTTATATCAAAATCCTTGAATCCCTGTATTCCCCAGTTTCCATTTTGTTTTGCATTTTCTTTTTCATTTGATTCTCCACTATCGGGGGATAATATAGCCCAACGCCCTACGCCCTATATACCCATTATAAAACCCATAAACCCCCAAACCATAAACCCTATATTATACCCCAAGATAGTACCTTAGAGTAAGTCCCTGAAAAGTAACCCAGGAAAGAGATGGAGAGAGGTGAAGATGCCGTGGGAGGCCGGACCTGGGCTTGAGATGGCATGCTTGGAGGGTCATTTGAGTAGTATTTTATTTGGGGATACACCCCAATACTGGAGAATCGAATGGAAAAGAAAATGGAGAATGAAATGGAAACTGTGGTTATATAGGGGTTATATTGGGGATATAATGTTTCATTTGGGGATACTATGGTAGCCAATATATAGAGTAAGATTACATCCTCCTTTTGGGTATAGTATTTTATATAAGGAATATTATCTTACTAGGTTTAACCACCAAAAAAATGCTACTCATTTGGACTTAGCAATTATGGAAAAGAACATGGGTTAGTGGGATAGGGTTTAGGGCTTAGGGTTAGCAATTATGGAAGAGAACATGGAAACTGCATATGTATATATATATGTGTGATTTAGGATGTAGGGTTTTTGGGATAAGTAGGGTTACTCTGTGGGTTATAGGGTTTATTAACCTAGTTACTAAGTCCCATGACCCTCTAAGTAGTAACTCCCAATGTCATTCCCTCAGAATCTCATGAAAGGATACGAGAAGTATGGTATCAGGTACTCCAAATTCCAATTCCCTTGTCTGCTGACCGAGGCCCTATAATGTTGCTCTAACTTTAGTGTGTTTTGGTCGCCGTTTATTGAATTTCAGGCCATTTTTAGGAAGACCTTGAGTAATGTGCTTTGGTTTGGGGGGCATAAAAACAGGGGCCCCAAGACAAGAATTTTAAAAGGCAGCCCCTTCAAGATCCTTTCCAAGCTCAGCCCTCAAAGAGATCCGGAATCCAGATGATTACTAAATCTTGCATCTGAAGCCGGCTACTTTTGTCAAAGCCCGCTTTTCGAAACCCTACGAATCCTAGCCGAAATCATGTGGGCAAAGGGGGTAGTCCAGCAGACCCCTGGACTTTGAGTAGTTTCCCTTGTTGGGAAGCAATTGGCCGGACATTTTTGGGAGAATTTTGCATACTTTTGCTCGCACTATTCTGGGAAACTTTCTTTAATCTTTCATCCCTGGGCCCGTGCAGGTTTTGAGGCACCAAGAGAAGGATTTGAAAAGGCACCCCTTTAAAAATCCTTTCCCAGCTCAGCACCCACAGATATCCAGAATCCAAATACTTACGAAATCTTGAACCTGAAGAAAACCCTTTACCGAAAAACCTTGCCAAGACCATCCCTGTTTGAATCGATCCCCAGAATCGCGGGAGGTTCGGGAGCCGTTATCGAGGATGCCTAGTTCTAATTCTCTGGACCCCCTATTGTTGGGGGGGGGTTAAGAGTTTAAAGAGTGCAACATGAGTACTGAATGAATGACAATGCACTGAAGTCGCAGCACATGGAACGGAAGTTGCGTGCTGAATCCTGCCCTAAACGTGCGACAGCCGAAGCTTGGGATTCTAGGATAGGCCCTTAGCCTTTGCGTGGAGCCCATTGTCATGTATCCCTAGTAAGGGGAGGAGGTTATTTATCAGGGGTCTGGTTTAGTACAGGTATACGCCTTACGTGCATGGACCCAGGGTTAAGGGCGTCTCCCAAAATTAGGGGTACTCGTTTCAGGGGTCTTTATGATAAGGATTTTAGCATTCTTGGGTCTATATGGGCTTCCCCCTTATTCTGGAAACTACGAACTACCTTTCCGTGCCGAGGCCTAGGTTGCAGCTAGCACTGTCTGGATTCAATCGGGGACCGGGCATGACGTCATATCCTTGGAGGTTATGGCTTTCTGTGGGGCTGTTTTGCCGGATGGGTTGACGTCCAAGGCCACGCAAGGACCGTCATGTTTGCTTACTTCTGAGGCTGCGTAGGACGGCTCAATGGTGGCCAGGATGGTCCGGGGAGACGCCAGAGCTGCTTAGAATTGATCCCGGAAACCACAGAACCGGTCCGCAAAACGCCCGAATTACTTTGATCCGGGAGAGAGCCGGACACTCAGGGAGGCCTTAGGAGGCTCCTCACAGCCGATCGCGCGTTCTTTGCTTCTAAGGGTAGGCACTCTCTACAAGGGGGTGCAGGGAGGTCCCAGGGATGTGCTGGCATAAAAACCGCCGGGTTTAACGTGGGAAGGCCCCGACAGGGTGCCATGGATGGCGGCAGTCGACCAGCTTGTTCTTCTCCGCTTTCAAAGCTCGGGCAACTTCGGGCCCCGCGTGGCAGTTGTCGAGCCCCCAGCTAAAACTTTAGGGCTAGGTTTTCAAGGTCTCCTTGACAAGTAACATGTGTGAAGGGCTGATGCGGGGACCTTGATGAGTTGATGCAGTTCTGATTCGATCAGAATTTGACAAAAAATGAAGGCTAGGTGGGAGTGGGAGAAAGTCATACTTCCCCTGTTGTGGTATAAAGTAACCTATTCAAAGTTGAGTTCGCAAAGCAGGTCAAGATGAGAAATCCAGCAAAGGATGGAAGTTGATTCTGAGCTGATGGCCGATGTGGTGTCTGATGACAAGTGGGTGTTGCCAAGTTGGAAGTGTTTCTTTAATTAAGCCTGCTCCCCTACTTCTAATAGTGGAATATCCCGATATCGTACCGTCCTACGCTACTATCGGGATGTTTTTCGTTACGAGGGAATGGGGAGCTTCATTATTAGAGGAGGCTTGTTAAGTTCTTGGGAGAATCAGTCCTGGGCTCCCTTACCAGCACATGTTGACATGTCAAACCATAGCAGGCATAGCCATAAGGCATTATAAGCGGAACAGAGTCGCATCCACTGCTCCATGGCGTTATGCCAAGGTAGTGTCTCACACAGTTCTTGTATCCGCGCCGCAAATGTAAGGTGTTGGTGCAGACCAAGAGCCGTATCCACTCGGGGGGTTCTCGTGGCTGTACATAGGAACCTGGACCTGTTGAATTTGACAGGATCAGCGGACATCTGAGGCTCATGGATTTTCCTGAGTGCGGCGATGAGAAAAGCAAGAGATGTCAAGCCAGGCGTGACCTGATAGTTTCGCAGTTGGGCGCAAAATGGGCATGTTCCAAAGCAATGGTGAGTCATGCGCCGTCGCAGATCAAGAGTTCAGATCCAAGAGTCCGCCCATTGCATACATGTCACACACCTGACACGCAAATCTCTTTGCCACCACAGATCATAGCCAGGATTTCGAAATCTTACAGTTCCATACCAGCGAGCGAATTTGCTTGAAGCCGCCGCCCTCTACAGTGCAATGCGGCAAGTTCCGTAAATGGGTGAGGGGGGTGGATTTACGAGTTTCTCTAAAAGGGTGCCCTTTTGGGATCCTCATCAGGGATTGTAGAGGGGTTGTTTTGAGAAGTTCTCATGTAGACAGCACTATATTCAATCAGTATAAGGAACCCTCACTTTGGGAAACACTCATTGGATGGGAGCTGGCTGGAGGAGGCTCGCCCTGCTGTTGCGATGCTGCTAGAACTGCATGGGGTTTCTCACGCCCCATTATGATACGGCCCCTTCAGCATTAGGGTGCCCAGAAATGGACCACATTTTGGACAGCTTCCCACATGAGAGTTTGCCGGAATGTCCTTGTAGTCCACATGTATCTGTAGGGCCCAGGAAGCCCACAAACCCTTTATTTTGAGAAACCCCCGCAGTCACCAAGCAGAGTGGCTCATCAGGTTGTTTCAATTGCACTGCATCGAAGTTTTTCTGAGTGTCGCTCTTCTTCTTGTGCTCCTGTTTCTAACGGACCGCGGCGTTTCCTTCTCTAGAAACTGTCAGCTCTACCCAGATGGGCTGGGTTTGGGCTCGCCAGATAGCAGTTACAGGTATGATGACTTATTATGATTAGATTACAGCTGGCCATTCACTCCTAGGCTGTCCAAGTAGCGGCCACGGACCAAGATGGCGGCCAGGGCACGCCCGACCTTCAAAGGTCGAAGCTACACCAGAAGCACCGCAGGCGTCGATATACCGGCGCCGAGGAAGCTAGGTCATTGTTGAACCTATCCTCCCACAAGCTAGCATTTGCCGGTCAACCGGGAGTTTTTCGAAACTCCGTAGCTTGGGCGAGGGTAAGGCAAAGGGCGTATCAAGTTTAGCAAAAACGCGGAACTTCCGTTGCTAGCATTGCTTAGCGTAACCCATGAAGGGATGGAGATGTCTGATTATGGTGGCATGCATAGCTCAGGAAGCGCCAGAGGAAGCAGACTTCAATAGACCCGGCCAAGTGCTTCACGGTAGATGTGGAAGAATCGGCTCTACAGGGCTACCCGGCGCATCCTTGGAAAGTCGTTCCAGTTTGTCCTTACTTCAAGGGTTAGTTGCTCATTTCTCTACATTGTATGTCATCGTAGTTTCGATAGCTGGGGGAAACCCCATGTAGACACCAAAATGCTGTAATCCCTATGAAGACTCCCCAAAAAAGGAGCTCCGATTTCTGGAAACCCCCACCTGCATGACCAAAGTTAAGAAGCTTCTTAACGCCAGTGCTGCAGAGAGGGGGCACAAAGGTGAGTATGGCTACATCGTGGACGAAGGGGATTCAGACCAGGAGGAGCTAAACGGATCCCTGGCTGAGGTTTTTTACTGGGTTGCTGTTAAGGAGCTTAAGCTAAGTTACCATAGTGAGTATAGGTAGTGAATAATGGGGTCTCCCCAATATGTAACTCAAATTAAGTTCCTTAACAGCAACCCAGCTTACTGGCTTAGTCAGGACTTGGGGATGAGCTTGCTAGACGAACAAGGTTTGGAGTAGAGTCCCCCTTAGGTATCAGATAGACTCTGAGGTATATGGGGATCTTATTAGAATACACCCAACGCCATATTCTATCTACTTAAGGGGGACTATCAATTTACAAGTCCTACAGTGAGGGGTCCAGTCCTCTATTTCTAACTCAGCCCGAGGAATTGTACCTAAATACCCTAAGCCCTAAGAAGGTCTGTTTGCAAGCCAGGCCGCCTCAGTCCCCAAAATGTGGACCTCGTGATCCCCGAAGTGACTGTAATAGAATGTTCCGTGGCTCGCGGACTTCAATTTTGTAATGTAGACACGTGATTAAAAAAAAACAAAAAAAAACATCCTTTTAAGGGCCTTGATATGAGGATCCCTACTATAGTCCCTATTTAGGGGAGG